ACACTTGTCTTTTATTTGTATGTGGTGTCTTTAATTCAAAATTTTCTTTCTAAAGGCTACACTGTGGGTACTAAGTCTTCCTTTGGTAGGCCCTCTCTGCCTCAAAATTATACATTCAGAAATTCCTTTATATTTTTTTCTGATATTATAATTTTCATTTTTATGTTCATTTCTGGAATATCTGTGAACTTATGAGACAGGGCTTTGGCTTTACTTTGTTTCCAAATATCTCTGTGCCAACAATCTCAGTGCCAGTTACTGATTATTGCTTTACTTTCCCACTGACTGAAATACCACCTTTATAATATATCAAATTCCTTTATATACACATCTGTCTCCAGACTTGTTCTTCTCCATTGATCTTTTTGTCAATTTCAGCCCAGTCAGGACCACACTTTTTAATTACTCTAGTGTGTTTAGATGTCTGGTCAGAGACATCCACCATAGCCCACTATTACCACTATTAGTATCACCTGCAATAGTTTACTTAGCTATTCTTTTTCTTAAATGCTTATTTATTTTTGAGAGAGAGACACATACAGAGAAAGAGAGACAGGTAGGGTGCATGCCCACCTGAGCTGGGGACGGGCAGAGAGAAAGGGAGAGACAGAATGCCAAGCTGTCAGCGCAGAGCCAAATTCGGAACTTGAATTCATGAGCTGTGAGATTATGACCCGAGCTGAAATCAAGAGTCTTATGCTTACTGGACTGAGCCAACCAGGTGCCCCTATTTAGCTATTCTTAAGCTTTGTTTCTTCTACATAAACTTTATAAATGGATCAAATCTCATTTAAAAAACATCTGTGACTTAAATGAGTTTGTGCTGAATTTGTAATTTGGGGACAGGGGACATTTTAACAATATTGAGGCTTCCCCTCCAGGAACACCGGATTTCCCTTCATTTATTCAACTCTTCTTTTACACTTGTACGTAGAGATTTACAGTTTTCTTAACTAGACTTTGCCCATTTCTTGTTAGGTTTATTCCTAGGTATTATATTGCGTTGCTTTGTGAGGGGGACATTTTTCTATTATACCTTATGATTCGCTCTTGCTATTCTGTAGGAAAGCTACTTGTTTTGATTATGATACATTGATCCTGAATGGAGACGCCTTAACGAGTTCTTCATTAATTTTAACAATATTTAGTTGATTCTTTAGGATATATTTACAGAATATTAACAGCTGGAAAGATTAGTGTATCTTAAAACATATTTTTGTAAATTTTCTTTTAATATTAATACTTTCTAGTTGTTCTTCTTGTCTGATTCCACTGCCTACGTTGCCACCACAATGTGAGATTAACAATAACACCTGTTACTCACTTCAAAGGGAACAATTCTCAAATTTTACTGTTAAGTATAATGCTTGCTTTCAATATCTGAGACACAAAGTCTATCAAGCTAAGGAGGTTTCCTTTTATTTTCTACCTCACTAAGGCTTATCAGAAATAAGCTTGGAATTTAATCAACTTATTTTCAATGTGTTAAAAATAAATTATAATTCAATCTTTAAATAAAATCAGTCCCTCCTTTGGTCACAGAAAGCTTTAATGACCATATACTCTATTTCATGAAAACAGTATAAGCATGTCAGAGACCTCTGATGTCATTAGAGCTGGTAGTTGTTAAAAATGTAGAACTTGAAATATTTTTTGGGGGGAGCGCATCAAAACAAATCACATATTTATGCTATTGGTAATTTAATGTGAATCCCTCACCTTGAAATCATCAGGAATGAGGAGTTTTGATGTTCGTAGAAAATTCAAGATATATCTGAACATCTGTCCATCTCTGTCAATGAAATAATGCTGTTTGAGACTGTCCAAAACAATGGGCTCTGTACCATCAAAAAGTCTTCCGATTCTGTGATAGAAAAGAGGGAACAGTGAAAACAATTAGAATCGATTGTTTGGCCACTAAAACTAAGAGCTCCCGTTTTGTGTCACTGTCAATGGTAGCAGTTTCAAAGATGGCAGTCAGGAAAAATCACCCGTTACGTAGTTATGGATCTCTGAGAGGTGCCGGTCCTTGCCTGATAAATATTTCAGGACCAGACAATTCAAAATAGTTTCAGGCTTTCTCAAGTAAATCCTTTTATTCACTGTCTGTTACCTGTAAAGAAAATGTCCCTGACATGGTGATTATGGCTAAGTGCTGTCACTATGATGGAGGAGCATGTCTTTCCCCTAGGTTACTTAAAACCACCTTCTCAGCTGCTTTGAAAAAATGTCATTGCTCCGAAGTGTCTTTTAAACAGATTCTACGAGGAAAGCAATTTTGTATCTAAGAAATCTGTTTTCTGAGCTTTCCTCACCCATGAATCACAAACTCTCCAAAAATAAAGCAATGCCTAGATGCTAACATCTACATTTAATTATAGAAAGGAATCATAGAAAATATCACTCGTCCAGGAGAATATGTTTTCCATTAACAATATACAGTCTAGTTTCTTAAGTCTCCACAAAAATATTTTTTAACAGCCAGGCACCATTATAAAAAATAAATAGTTGACCACCCCAAAAATATGACCTAGTTCTGGAACATGAGAGGCTATGGGTAACTTTTAAAAACAGGAATCCACAATATATTTTTCCCATTTACAGAGTTAACATTTGAACAGTGTGCTACAGTTAAAACAGTCTGCATCCATTCATTATCATTTATCCCTTTAAAGACGGTTGAATCTACATACTTTAGTATACATTCAGTTCACAGAAAGTGGCCACATCTGGACCATGGACAAGTAGGTGGATGGCTAATGACGAACAAATATCCCATATCAGAAAATAGAATTTACACACTAGAAGTCACTTCCTCGACCAATAGGTGCATTGTATTTTTCATTAACAGCGTAGCAGGCAAATGGCTCCATTTTTTAACGAAAAGCTTTTTCGGAACTCATAAACTCTATCTCTGATTTGGAACATCACCTTATTGCTTTGAAGACCATTTTGAAATCACAAATTTTCTAATCTTGCATTGAAAGGTGACAGAGGTAAGGGTGAATCAATAATTTCATCCCTCCTACAGTACAACCAACCAACCAACCAACCAACCAATAGAAAAGCTGTTCCCCCTCCCTCCCAAAAAAGAAAAGCTCGGAATTTGTTTCAATACAAATCTTTTAATCTTTTACCTCCTACCTGAAGGTAGTAAGTGCAAAGAAGAAAGCAACTAATTACAGTCAGTCATATTTCTAAAACTCAATATATTTTTTTCAGCTAATGCTTTTGTCCAACTTTCCATGAATAGAGGGTGATTCACAATTCCTTCCTTCCACAATTTTATCCAGGGCGTGGATCGTAAGCATCCCAGGGCTCGGACTGCATGCAACCTTGTCATTCGTTTCCCACGAACACATCAATCAAAAGGGCTACATAAAGAGGCACTGAAACTAAAATACACTTAGTCATTTATTTATAGTGTTTCCGGGACAGTTTGGTGTAGGATGGGAATGAACGAAACTTGTTTGCTTATTATTAAAAGATTTATTCTTTATTGTTAACATGATAAATTTACAGTTGACAGGGGAAGAAAAGGGAGTTATATTTATTAACTGCTGTCCAGATAGCTTGCACTCTCCTCAGCACTTTATGTAACGAATCCATTATCCTCCTTTTACAGATGAAGAAATAGACTCAAAATGATGAGTAACTTGCCCAGCTAGTTAAGTAGCACTGGGGGATTTGTGCACTGCTTGATTTTAAAGGGGCTGCCCTACAATGACTGGAATGAAAAGAATTACCACTATCGAAGGAAAGCTTTTGGTCTAGAGTTTGTACTTTCTTTCTTGTTCGCTCAGCAACAGCTTTGCAATGAAATCCAAGTGTGTATATTGATCATTTTTGTGGCCTAAAACATATTAGTATCAATGACTGCAAGCTGCTTTAGTAAGAGATGAGAAGTTAATATTTTATTCTTAAGTAAATCCTATGCTTTTTTTTTTTTCTTAAGTGTTCATTTTCAAAATCTAGACCTGGATGTACCCTGGCACAGAATGAGTAATCAGTAGTCTCTATGAAGTGAATGAGTAAAGGATGAACTGAGTGGTGAAGGGAATTTGGCTCAGTCCTTTACTAGCTGTAATTTGCGTGTATCGACTTCTCTGCATCTCCATTTCTCTTATAAAATGTCTGTTTCTTTTGTAAAATTGCCCCTTTGCTCAGGGGTTGATGAGAAAATCAAGTGGAGTCATGGCGTGCTCAAAAAGAACTCAGCAAGAGAAGGTATCCCAAGCTAGCAAACAAAAATCTCTAGAAAGCAGATCTCAGAAGACAGGCGGTGCTACAAGGCACAGGATTCCAGAGGCCAGAGGCCCAATCTGGGCTGAAGTGTCTGGTTATAGACCTTAGCCAGGTGGGAGCGACGCCAACCCCTCCACCTCCGGCAGACACGGAAAACTGGACACAGACAGGTGAGATCAGAAGCACCTTCGCATCGGACTTGGCCTAAACAGGAGACACAAATAAAAGAGCCGGAGGGAAAGGAAAGAGCTGGAGGGAAATGTGAACGGCGGCCCACGGTGGTCACAGCCCCTGGGCGATGCAGTGGGGAAAGCGAGGTCTCCAGGCCTAACCACTCAAGAAGTATGCAAGCTAAGGAGGGCTGGCCGCCCCCTGGCGGTGAGGGCGCCCCCAGCAGCCAGGCCGCGGCAGGGCGCGGGGGTGACGCCCCGGAACCTTGGCCGCCGGGAGAGCATGAAGGGCCAGGTGGGGGGAAGGGAGAGGCCCGACGACGGTGGAAAGCCCGTCGGGGCCCCACTCGTGGCACAAGCCGTGGGGTCTGAGCGCGAGCAGAGGGGGCCGCGGCCGTGGAGGGCAGAGCCAGGCTTGTGGCCCGGAAGAGCCCGTGGGCCGCGCCAAGGTGCATTCGTGTCTGAGGAGCAAGGCCGCCCCGAGAGAAGCGAGAGGCGGGAGGCCCGTCTGTGACGCTGCGAATGTTAGGAGTAGTGAAAGGCAACGTTACACCGCTGCCTTCGCTAACTTTGAAAGGACGCACGTTCTGAGTTGTGAAAACAATGTGGAAGGGCAGGGCGGTGCCAGGGATCGTAAAATGGCGTCCCGGGGTCGGGTTTGAATGTGCCAGTGAAGCAGCATTGTTTGGCTAAGCAAGTAAGAGGGAAAATGGGCACGGGCTCTATTTCTTGTGGACGTATGAATGGAGTTACAAATCAAACTGCAGTGATTTGTAAACTCTGGTGCCTGAAAACTATGTGGAACTGATTACAGTTTACTAACCTTGGAGAACATTCCTGTTTTCCAACTGACCAAGACCAAGTTGGCTCCGGATGTATGGCGGCTGTGTGTGTGTGTGTGTGTGTGTGTGTGTGTGTGTGTAAAAGTCCCACTGAACCAAACAGCAATGCTGAGAAAAACTTCCTTCCACAATTGTATTTTTTCTTACATTTCTGTTTTAACATTTTGTTTTGGACAATTTCAAATGTAGGGCAAAGCAGAGAAAATTATATAATGAGCCCCCATATATCCATCCAGCTTCAAAAAAGCTATTCATTCTCGATCAAGCTTGTTTCACCTATACTTCTCTTGCTCCCTCTCCCCCACTGCAAATTTTATAGTAAATCTCAAACATCCTATCAGTTTATCTGTAACTATTTCTTTAAAAAAAAATTTTTTTTTTATGTTTTTATTTGAGAGAGAGAGAGACAGCATGAGCAGGGGAGGGTCAGACAGAGAGGGAGACACAGAATCTGAAACAGGCTCCAGGCTCTGAGCTGTCAGCACAGAGCCCGACGCGGGGCTTGAACCCACAAACCGTGAGATCATGACCTGACCTGAGCCAAAGTGGGACGCCTAACCGCTGAGCCACCCGGGCGCCCCTATCTGTAACTATGTCTTTAACTAGTAAGATGATAACATTTCACTAAAAATATGTATTAAAATATACTGAAATATATTTCTTGTTTTTTAATATTAACATTCTGTTGATTATTATTTATGGAACCAATAACGTAGGATCAAATCTCTGAGGAAATTAAGCTCCTTTTTGTGGAAAGTTACATCTGGTTCCTCACTATGGCATTCCCTCTCTGGAATTAATGAATGGTCTTAAATGAAAGAGAGTATTATAGGTATAGGGATAAGGCCTCATATACCTGACTTCGTGTGTGAACCAGTCATTAAGAATTTCTTTTTTGTATACTCATTCATAGGACCTGGCTTCTTTCATTTACTGTGACTCGGTTCCTTCAGAATTTCCCTTCATTGTTCAATCATTCAGTTATTCATTCATTCTGCCCATATTCACTGGGCTTGACCATGTGAAATATAGGAAATGCAGTGGTGAACAAACCACACATTCTTTGCTTTTGTGGAATTTAACCGTCTGTGGGGCTGGGAATGCAGATCAAGTGCAGTGTGTCACTGGGGGGTGCAGAGTGGGTTACAGGGAGTACACAGGAAGCGCACCCAACTCAGACTTTGGTGAGGCATGGAAGAGAGACAGAGTTCACCTGAGACCTGAAGGACAAGCAGAGGTTGGCCAAGTACTGGGGTGGCAGCTAAGGTCAGATAAAAAAGGCGACGGTTAGGGAAGATACAAAGGCTTGAAACTAGAAGAAACCTGGCATGTGATCAGTCTCCACTGGGGCAGAGTCAGGCCGGCCGAAAAATGAGGCTGGAATAGCAGTTAGATTGTGAAAAGCTATATATAAGCCGGGTCAAGGAGTTTCAATTCGGTTCCGGGGCTGATGGGGACTGATGTCTAGCTATGCTCTCCAGAGAGGTTAAGGAAAAGAGCAAATTTATAAGTAAGACTGAATGAAACACTGTAGCTGAAGCCCCATCTCCTCAAAGACGCAGCTTGGGGCTTATCCAAATCCTTTCTCCTCTGCCTTACTTTTGACTCTGCTATTTGCAGGGTTCTTAACCCTGGCTGCACACTGGAATCACCCAAGGAGATTAAAAAAAATATTGCCAGATAGTCTGATGTAATTTCCGCTTAGAGCTGGGGCCCAGGCATCTCCCCAAGTCAGTCTGATGAACAGCAAAGTTGAGAACCAGTGCGAAGGAGGATGAGCAGAGACTAAAGAGGAACCAGTCAATGTTGTCAACTCAAGAGGCTTTCAGTTAGTCATTCTGTCACTTCCAACTGTCACAGCACCTCTTCTTAAACAGCCAATCACACTTTCAGACATGAAAGATCTCCAGGGTGACCTAGATCAACATCCCATTTTACAACTGGAGAAACAGAGTCCCAAATACGTTAATGCTCAAGGGTGCACAGCTGGCTAGATACAGAGCCGAACCCACCACGCTGTCCCTGGGCTAACAGGCGGAGGTCACATTCAAGCCTGTGGAGGACAGCTGCTCTAATGGTAGTTACTATTTATTGAATTGTATTATGTGCCAAAGAGTGAGCTTGCTGCTTTATGGGCTTTATCTCATTTGATTTTACAGTGATCCCATGACAGAGCCGTGTTATTCTCATTTCACAGATGAGGAATCTGAAGCTCAGAATGGTTGTCACTTGGCTTAAGCTACAACCTAGGTCTGATTCTAAAGCCTATGTTCTTGAGCACTAAAGTATAATGTCTTTTCACGTGTAATTTTAACAAGCAAGCAAACAAAATGACACTAACTCAACAACTTGCCTTGAGAACTGCACAATTTTTTCTACTTCGGTGGTTTGCTAATGTTGCACGTTATCTCAAGAAAATTTGGTGATTATCAGCTTTGGAAACACTAACTTAGTTAGCAGGCGTCCTACAAAAAGCTGAGGCTCAGGGGCTTGGTGTAGACGGTGTAGACATATGGAGCGGGTACCCTAAACTCAATCGAACCAAGTCACAACACTCCAGGACTTCAGAGACGACGTCCAAACTGCTGCACAAGGCGAAGGGGGCAAAGGGATGGGCAAGTGAGGCTTCTTAGGACGATGGAAACTTGTAGAAGAAGAATTATGCGTGAGAGTCCAACTCCATTTACCTTGCAGCCCCTGTGTCCCCTTATGTGCTGTGTCCCCACACTTCATTCCAACACACCCTTGCGGGACTTGTCACTTCACAGCTAAGGAGGAGTTTCCAGCCCTTCCAAGGCTCCACGCACCCGATCCTCCTCATGCCGCCTGGTGAACATCATGTCACATCAAGCACCATGGCGTGTAATACGACGCTGGGCTCTGCTTTACCAGAGGCAAGCTGGTTAAGCCCTTCTACCCTCCGGAGCCAGAACACACATGGTAATTACACAGGGAGGTAGGCGGGAGGAGAAGCGTTCATCTGCGGTGGCGGCGCTCAGCTCGCCCAGGGAGGGTGCAGAAGACCCCGCCCGGGGCTGAGAAGGAAGCGCCGAGATAGACGAAGGGGTAAAGCTGCTGAGACGGAGGATGTTGGGTTATTTCACCCACTGAGCTCCCCTCTGCCAAGAAATGCCTTTTCCCCCACCTCCATTCCTGGGCTTCCCAGCCATGGAAAATATGGTTTGGACTTGAAGAAAAGATTTCATTTAGTTTCTGGTCCAAATTCATTTTGTTGGGTAAGAGATTCAGAGGCAACTTGCAAATGACCCCTTTTAGCATTTGGGGGATATTTTTAAATTGTAAAAGCGATGCCTACTTGTTGTTGAAAATCAGAAAAGCGTCGAGGATGAAGAAGCAGCAAAACAGAAAGACAATCTGCCATTAGTCCACCAAATAGCAAGCCATGACTTTTTTAAGAATTTGATTTAAAGAGTATTTTTCTTTGAGCGATTTTGTTTTCAGGACACTTGTACCTGCATACTTTGTTATACTGCCTATTCCAAGTTAGTCTGTTAGGAAGTTGGGTCTAACTACTCCAAGTTACATTCCCAACCAAGTTTCTGTCCCAGAATTTGAAACCAAAGAAAAATGGCAAATGGGATGGAGGGCTGGGTGAAGGGGTGTGTGTGTGTGTGTGTGTGTGTGTGTGTGCGCGCGCGCAGGTGAAACAGATTCAGGACAGTGGAGGGGGAGGGATGCATGGAGAGACGGGCAGCGCTTCAACCAGTGGGGGCCTCTTCCTCTTTTCTGCTGAGATGGGAAAGGGCGGAAACAGTGGTGGAAGGGAAGAGACATGCTAGGCTGAGATCTGAAATTTGGGCCCTTGGGAGTCCAATATTGTATTCATTTTTGCATATAGATATTTTTTAATTTTTTTAAAAAGTTTATTTATTTATTTTAGAGACAGAGACAGAGAGAGAAAGGAAGGGGCAGAGATGGAGAGAGAGAATCCCAAGCAGGCTCGCCACTGTTAACGCAGAGCCTGATGCAGGGCTCGAACTCACAAACGGTGAGATCGTGACCTGACCAAAGTCTGAAGCTTAACTGACTGAGCCACCCAGGTGCTCTTTTGCATACATTTTTAAGTGCCTATAATAAAAAAAAAAGTTTTTCTTTAAAAAAGGGGGGCGAGGAGGATGCTGGGTATTATGATGTTTAAAATGAAAGAAAAAAGAAACACCAGTCTACTTACTGTTTTAGAAGCCTGAATTATCATAAACAATGTTTAATTTGCTTAAAGTATTGTAACTGTTAAAAAAAATTCTAGGAAGAGTTGTTTATAGTTCCCACACTTGGGAAATTTCGTCTATATTTCATGAACACAGATACAAATTAATTCAGAGCTTGTTATAGAAATGGACAGAAGTAATTTAAGAGAAGGGAGAAAATACCTTCTTGGTAAGAACAAACAAAACAAATTGTATCTACTTATGGGAAAGTAATGCTTCCAGTGCAGTTCCCTGAGGCAGCATCATTTTCTTAAATGGTACATAGAACTGAAGATAGCAGGGGAGAAAGGAGAGGCCAGTTTAAAATATAAGAAAAAGCATGAAATCAAAACAACTGAGGAGCTGGCACTCTGGAAAACTGATCACGGATGGTAATGCTGAGGGTCAAGGGGGAGCTCGGGGCCACTCAAGGGGCTGCTAATCCTCTAAAACTCTCATGAGTGCCCTCCAGGACTCCTAACTAGAACTTTCTTTTAATTCTAAGTTATACTATTAATTATGAAAAAATGTATTATTACAATTAACATTTTTAAAAACCCACCAGAATTTATATAAGCAGGCTTTTTATTTCTGCATTTTATTGACTGCCTACCATATTCCTGGTGCTCTGTCAGGCCTCTTAAAAT